TGCCTTGCTCGTAGCTTCTAACACATCCAAGGAAAGTTGTTGTGGCATGTTTGGAGAATGAATTCCTCCGTGATCAGATCTCGGCAGTTCATTGCCTTATTCCGGAAGCATTTAACGAAGTTCTCAACCAGTTCTTCGTCTTTCTGTTTCTCTTCAAAGAGTGTTCCGATTGACACTTCAGTGTCATCGTCGAAGAAATTGGTGACAAACATGCTCTCCATGTCATCCCAGCTATTGATACTCCCTAGCTTGAGACAGCGGTACCAGTCGAAGGCAGCTGCACAAAGGGTTCCCACGAACGATCATACCATCAGAGGTTCATTGCCAGAAATGATCCCTAGGTTGGACTTGAAGTAAATCAAGTGTTGAGTGGGCGAACCCCTTCCGTTGAACAGTATGAAGTTAATCAGGTTAAACTTCGATGGGTATGGAATTGATTCCCACTCACTCGGATAAGGATACAGAATGCCGGTCTTCTTTACCTCTTGAGCAGACATCAAAATATTGATCTTGCTTTCGAAGTCTTTCAATTTAAGATCTTCGCCTGCATCTTTCTTTGGGCGATTTTGAAAAGGAATGGTGGGGTCACCCCCAGTGATGAGGCCATCCTTAGCATTTTCATCATCAGGTAGAGTATCGACATTGATATTCTCCTCTACTTCTGAGTCGCTATCTACCTGATTGGTAGCGTGGCGACGACTAGATTTACCGTGCTGATTTGAAAACTCTTGGAGCTGTTGGGCATGTAAATCTTTGACCTGTTGTACGACCATATCCATCTCAATTTTGAAATCCTCCTTCTCCTTAGCCAAGGCTTCTTGAAGGAGCTGAGCCATCTGCTCAGTAGTGATTATGAACGCTTCTCGAGTCTGTCCCACACTGGATGCCGTATTATCAGAAGCGATTGTAGAGTTTGTATCTGATGCTTCATCATCTGAGGAATGCCCTCTTTGAATTATCCTATAATCCTTAGGCCTGATAGCCTCGGTTCGTAGCCGAGGCATGCGCTGAGATATTTCTGGGAAAGGTTCGGGACTAAAACGTCATGTGGACTTTCCCTTGTCAGCCATGTTGATGGTGAATTCTGCAAGTTCACCACTTTGACCGGTTAATCTTCTTCTGCGGAAGCACCTTGGCTTGGGCACTAACATTTCGGTAGAAAGTCTTTTAAATACTAAGACCCTCTATGGAGCGGTCTTGGGGTAGCTACACTCTGATAATACTACCCAGATAAGCTTGGTACATGGACAGTGAGAATCCGTTTCCCGGGTACTCCTCTTTCGAGATTTGTTTGTACCCCCAGCCCGATAGTAAAATTCATGGGCATGATTGCCGGAGCAACCTATCGTGTGCTGGCATTATTTTCCAAGTCTAACGTCATCATCTTTTGACGAACACACTTCTCTTTAGGGATATAATGCTTCGTTAGCGTTTTCAAGAGTCACTCGTTTGGAACCACACCTTTGTGAGTGTGAGGCCTCAACGGGCTCTTGGACTTCAACTTGCAATCCGAGGTGAGCGGTTACAGGTAATTTCTCAACATGGAGGTCCTTGACTGGTTGGGAGGACGCGCACGACCCCTAGCCTGACGAATTGCTCGGGGTTCATTTGCCGGACTCAAGCGCTCTTTAATCGGAGCTTTGCCTTGACCTTCGTGCAAAGGACCGAGATGATCTGTAATCTTTATCTTGAATTGGGACAAGTGCATGTTGTTGTGGGTCTCCACCGGAGGTGTGGGATTCATCGAGATAGGAACAAAAGCCGTCGGAGACTCAAAAACGTTTGCGGGAGGCAAAATTCCTGCAAACAGGGACTAGCTAGCTCGGGGCTAGCGGCGAGACAGCTATTTGGTGCGAGCCACCATTTGGTGGCTCGGATCGCGGCGCGGAGCAGCGCTAGTCTTTGGCGGTTCAGGTCTGGCCGAGCCAGCAGCTAGTGGTTTGATTTTTTCGGCCTTTGTTTTGGATTTTGGCTTCTAGATTTGACATAGTTTTGATGGTTTGTTGACTACATCGTGCCTTTGCAATTTCTTGGCTTCTTGTATGAGGATTTCTGCATGTGCAAGCAATACACGACATTTTTGGATTCGCTCCTCAAGGGTTGAGCAAGTCTTTTTAATGCGGGTCTATTCATTAGTCGCTGTTTTAAAGGGAAAATCCCATGTTTGTTGCTGAGGCGTCTGATATTTCTTAGATCTCGTATTTGCCTTATAGTAGACTCTGTCAACTGGCTCTAAGGCCTTGGCAAATTGGCGCGTGAGGCATTAGCGTCGCCTTTGACGTGCTCTCTTTGATAGGGTTGGCACGCCTTCAACGGTTAACTCATTGATCGAGGAAGGATCCAGATCTATAGATCTGGCCGAAGGAGCGTTGTGATGTGCAACTGTAGCGGCGGTGGTGCGGAGGTCATATTCTTGGGTCTTCAAATCCAAAGACAAGCGGGCCTTCCTGGATTTGCGAGGAGAGGCGAATCTGGAGGAGGAGGACAAGTACTCCTCGAACTTCTGCTGGTCAAACTCATACTCGACATCTTCTTCAACCGGGATGCGAATCCGAGGTTGCAACACATCAACCTTTGCAGAAAGGCTATTGGCTCCCACTATGGTCGCCAGATTGTTTTCGTCAAAACTTATTTTTCCCATTGTTGTTAAATCTATTACATCGTTTATCGATTACAAGTTTAAACTAAAAGAAAAGTCAATCTTTTTATAAGATCTTCTTATAATGAAAAAGTGAAAATTACACTTTATCCAACAAAACGCAACAGTAGTTTATCTTCTGTTGCTTTGCGTGAGATTTTTACCTATGTCAGGGACGCGTTAGTCCGTGGACCACCACAGATCAGATTCGGTTGACAAAATAATTATGCTCTTGCTTCACGAAGGAAACAACCGCAGCAACGACAATCACGACCAAGCGAGATTGTGGCTCTTCTCGAGATTAAAACCAAGTTTAATTTGGAGGAAAGAGGAGGAGAGAATCTCAAATTTTTTGAAGACTTTTTTTTTATAAAAAAGTTCGTCAAGATTCGCCAATTCTCCTCTAAAATTCATGGTTTACTGATCAATTCAACAGCACCTCGCCCTCTCATTTCAGATCCTCTCAAATGAAGACCATTGGCTTCTATTTACAGGCTTTTGTCGTTATGTTTTCTGATAAGATCAAGTATTTTGGCATCATCTGCAGTTGATAACCGCCCAGACACACTTAAGGATAGCTTTAGAACAGTTGAGGAGGTCTTGGGACGAAAGAATCCTTAAAAAACATCGAAATCTGTGTTTTGGGAGTCTTAGGAGTCAGCAGTACTCGTGGTGGCTCGGAGCTGTGCGAGTCACTATTTGGTGGCTCGCATGGGTGCGGGCCACCAATTGGTGGCTCCTCACATGGGTGCGAGCCACCATTTGGTGGCTCACACTCATGCGAGCCTCCTGGCCTATTTCGTTCGTCTTTTTTAACGTTTTGGCTGTTTGTAGCCCATTCAGTTCGCTTGTTTTGTGCTTATTTTGCCTTTACGCGTGTTTTGTCGGTTCACTGACTTGCACGCTTCATCGATTCGTTGACTTGTACGCTTCATCGATTCGCTTCATGTGTTTACCGACGTCGAATAATCTTCCTTGACTCGGATAATGACATTCATCGTCTTCTCTCTGTCTCGAGCTGTGTTCGGGGACCTATTAAGCAATTTTTGACGCCTACAATATATGCCTTTCAATTATGAATCCAACGAATCAAGTTTGCTCTAATCAGATTTATAGAACACAAGATACAGTCATTTTAGTGAACCAGTGATAGAATCATAAATATCTTAAAATTTGGTGCAAAATTTTCTAGATTGTATTATTTGGCCAAAAATTATTTCTTGGGGGCTAAGTTTGATCTAAAGACTCATATTGGTTTATGTATTGGGGCTAAGTTTGATCTAAAGACTCATATTGGTTTATGTAATCTATAAATAGAGGCGGAGAGTGAGGGTGAGAGATGTGAAAATTTTTATAAATCCTCTTTTAGAGGATAGGAGGACTACTCTTTTAAGAAGCCCTTCCAAATGATATAAAACTTTAATTTTGCAATAAAATTTAAAAAAAAAAATCTCTTTTTGATATTATTTTTTATGGAGACTTGAAGAAACTAGGGTCTACACAAAGAGTCAATCCCTTGCAATATGAGTTTTAAGTTTTTAAAGTTTATTGCTTAATTAAAATTGCATGTTTAGAAAATAGTTTTAGATTTAATTCTTGTTCTTCACGGCTTGTTTAATTCCCATGCTTATTTAGTTGGGAAAATTGCTTCAAGGCCCAAAAACCCAAAAAGACATGTGCCCCAGTCCGTCATACTTTTGGTAATGTGCCGCAGCCCCCAAAAATTGAAAATTTTATGCCCTAGCCCATCCAGCTTATAATTAGACAATATTTCACCTAAAAATCCAGTTTTACCCCTCTTCTCATTCTCCTCCTCCTCCTTCCTCAGTAAAAAAAAAATCTCTTCTCCTCCTCCTCCTTCCTCAGTAAAAAAAATCTCTTCTCCTCCTCCTCCCCCAGTCAAAAAAAAAATCTCATCCCCTCACGCCTAGAAATTTTCTCCACCTCCCTCGCCTCTCGTTCCCCCACTCTCTACCCCCAGGATCCTAGAAAAAAACCTTAAACCCCATGACCTCAACGGCGTGCGCCTCCGCCCTTCGATGACGACGGCTTCCACCGCGCTGCCTTCGCCTCTTGCCTCACATCGGCGTCACCTTACGCCCTACAATGACGTCATCATCACCACCGCCAGCTTCATCAATTTCCCACGCCGATGCCGTCGACCTCGATCGTCTCCGGCCTCTCGAGACTTCCCCCTCTTAATCCCTTGTGTCGGGCCTCTCCGCAGATGGATACCATCTCTGAGGCCTCCATTGCCGTCTCCTGGCCTCCGCTCAGCGGCGCCGCCATCGTCCACTCCAACGCCTCCCCCTCTCGCTAGGCCCGCCCATCATGTCAGCTGAGTTACGATGCAGAAGACAACCTCGGTCTCGATCTCATCTCCTCCAGCAAGCTCAACGCCGCCACCGACTCCTCCTTCACCTCCAACTTCGACAACGACGAAGACGACTTCGAGTCCTACATCGATGGCGAGTTCGACCAACACTCTCATCTTAATTCCATGACCGACGACATCGCCGATGACTCCGCTGCCATTCTCAGCGACGCTTTATCCGTCACTCACCTCAAGAAGAAGCTGAAGAAGCTTGAGAATGGCAATGGCAACTCAACAATCCCCAAAGGCCAATGGGAGAGGAGACTTCAAACTGACATCCTAATGGCAAAGCAAGCTCTTTGTGATGCTTTATCCGTTGAAAGGAAGCCTGAAGCTTTAACCAAACCCGTTCATGTTAAGAACTCAGCAGAAGCCTCATCATCATCAGCAACATCCACAACGACAACCACCTATGCGTCGAGCACCGAGAACATTTCCAGATTGCTTGAGAATTGGATGAAGGCTAGTCCATCGGCAAAGATCAACAATGGTGCAAAAAGTGCCAAGCACTTCCTCATCGACGACGCCCACCCGGTCCACATCTACTGGGACCTCAAGAACGCCAAGTTCTCTGACAACCCCGAGCCCCTCTCCGCCACGTCTTCCTATATTTATTTGCTTTCGTGCTAGTATCTGTTGTGACATTGTCGATCATTTATTGGTTTGTTGTTGTTCTGGGCTTAATTTTTTTACTTGTATTGATTGCATTTTCTTGATCATATGATTGTCAGAAATTGATAAATGTCATCGGAAACATGTTAACTTTCTTTGTTCGCTTATTAAGTTACACTGATAACATGTTAACTTTCGCAGTTTGCTTGTTAACTATAATACGTTATATGTTATAGCTTATGGATAGCACGTTACAAATTATAGTTAACATGTTGGCGAGTGTTTGCTTCGTGTTTCTTGGTTTCATGACGATTTGTGGCTTGTTCGTGTGTCTTGATTCATTATTTGTATCCCCATGTAGAGAAAATGAGTTTCTTTAGTTTCGTTGTCTAAAAACTAATGGAAATCGAGCTTCATGCATTGGATGTCGTTTGTAGTTGATTTTGGTGTGTGTGTGTGTGTGTGTGTGAAGCGTTGAATTTTATCTACTATCCAACTCAGTGAAGAAAATGGCGATGAGGACGAAGTCAAAGGGCGATAGATGAGGCTTATCGGGTTATTGGGTTTCGGATCTGTGTCGGATGGTATATCGGACTCGGAGATGACCGACAAACGACA